AAGGCGACCGTCCTTCATGCACAAGTTTTGGCCCCCTTTACCGGTCTGGCCTCCTGCCCCTTCGCCCGCGTCGCCACCCGCGGGAAGACCTTGTGAGTTCAATGTCCCCAGCTGCCTTTCTCGATTGATATGTACCCCTTTCTCTGTGCATGAAGTCGCTGACCTTGGACAATAGCCATTCGTACGACGTCGCGCGCGTCCCGCAACCCTCATTGCTATGATCGTAGATGACAAGGGTGTACTGCATGCAAGGGCATTTCTGCATTTGGCGGTAGAAGTGCCCCTGCGTGGCTGGGCGAAAGGAAGCGCCCGGGCGAAAGGAAGCGCCCAGTTCCCCCGTCTCGCTCAGCGCCCTCCCCCACTCATCGCGGAAGTGGAACAGGTCGGCATCTGCTTCCTCACCCGCGCCACGGCCTTTATCTCCACGATATCTGTGCACGTATACACTGGGCCATTATCCTGCCTGGCGGTCACGCGCCCGGCAATGGCGCACAAGATCCCGCGACCCTTCATCGTGCATTTGGCGGTCTGCGATACGATGTCAAATCGTCAGATCTCGCTCGCAAGACGTCGCAATTGAGATGACGACTGCCTATCCTTGATTATCCTTGGACATTAGTCCAGCTGCATTCATCAGGTCGAGCCGGGTGCAGATGCCAAGGCATTGCAGATCCACATCGTCAACATCACTCACGTCGAGCGCGCGCGATACCCAGCTGACATCCTCGTCGCAATTCTGGGAGGACGAAGCTGCTGTCCTGGCGACGCCTCGCCTCCAGCGCTGGTAGTTAGCAGCGTATGGGATCGCTTCCAACGCGATCTTACCCGTCTTGTCTGCATCATTCCAGCGCGGGGCACCTGGCGCGCAGTCCGCCGACGGGAACGGGGGGGCATCGCCGCCGCCGCCGCCGCCCGGCGATCCACCTCTCGGCGGTCCTCTGACGCGTCGGCGCCGTCGATCTGGATTGCTTCCCCCTTCTCCATCGGGGGTCGAACGTCCGTCGTCTTCGATGTAGTAATCGCCGTCGTCGTCACCATCGCCGCCATCTCCGCCGCCGCCGCCAGCGGGCCCCGAGCCTGGATGTCGGGGCCCCGGTGCCTTCCATGGGGGAGATGCTTCATTTTCCTTGTCTCTGTTCTTGAATATGCTCGGTAAACTCCCCGGCGCTGGAGGTGTGCATCCTGGGAGGGAGTGCAGCGGCACTGACTCGAGCTGCCGCCGATTTTGCACTTCCTGCATTGACGGCAGCTTTGGCCCTTTCCCCGCGCATTGCCTGGATCCCCGGATCCCCACTCTGCATTCGGCACGCATCCTGGCCGTCTCTTCTTCGCGCTGCATGGCCTGCTCGAGACGTCCCCTTATCTTCTCATTATCGGCTCTTACCGCCTCTTCGAACGAATTCAAAAGACTTTCTGGATTCGGCGTTCTCGGTCCGTCGACCGTCGCTCTCTGAGGCACGGCCCCGGGCGCGACTAGGCCGACGCGAGCGGTCTCGAGGTGGGGGCTCTCAGCATGGACGCAGCGACGTCGTGTTTCTGAAACTTCTTTCTAGCCTGACGTCCCGCGCATTCTCTCCCCTGGGGCCTTTCTCTTCCTCGTTCTTCTCGGCTGTCGAGTTCTTCCGATGCCAGCGCGCGCGCGTCCCATCGCCCTTCGCGGAATGGTCGTCACAAAAGCCTTACTTACACCTGGGACCATCGTGATTCGCCACCTTGATGCATGAGGAAGAGGAACACCAAAGAGCCCCCGCGTGAAGGCGCTGGCCTGGTTCCCCACGCGCTGACAGTCGCCCAACCGCACTCGGCGCCGACGGCTGGGCGGCGGACGCCGTCGCTGCACTCTCTGGGGTCGGAGGACCCGTGCCCGGGGTCGCTGCCGAAGACGCCCCTTTCGGGTGCCACGGTATATGATGATGGTCAATTTTGCGATACCAGTTATCTCGCTCTGCTTCCCTTTTCATCATCAATTGGGCAGCCACCATCTCCGCCGCGTTCGTCTGCGCTGCGACTTTCTCGTCGGCAATCAATTCAAGTCGCCGCGCCCCCTCGCGGGCGCGTAGCTTCTCAGCCTCGGGCCGAGCATAGCTCTCATCCGCGACAAGTCGGTTCGCCTCGGCCTGCTGCATGGCAGCGGCGGCTTCTGCCGCCAATTGCGCATTTCGGTTCCCTGCTGCCTGCAATTCCGCGACGGCCTGCGCCGCCGTCGCTCGCCGGGCCTCGCCGGCCCCCCGGACTGCGCGCCTCGCTTCTTCCGCCAAGTCAAGTTCCCCCCATGGAGATGCGCCTGGCGCTCGGGAGCGACGGTGTTTTCGAGCCCGTTGGCTAACTCTCTCGTCTCCGCCGCCGTTGCAGCCTGCCGTCGCTCTTCCAAGGCGCGCGCGGCGTTAGCCATGGCGTCCCGGCACCTTTCCAACTGGTAGGCAGCGACTTCCTGCTGTCGGAGCTCTGATTGTCTCAGCTGCTCGCGCATTTCAGCTAGACCTCGTTCCCTGGCCCCCATGATCTCGAGCCTCTTCCTTTCCTCTGCCTCTCGCCACTCATTGGCCCGCAATCCGGCGCAGTTGCGCAGGCCGGGAGCTGTGCAAGTCGGGCAGAGGACATTGATATTGCAGAGATCACAGCCGCTGGAGCATCCCGAGCAAACGGGCTGCTTACACTGGCCGACAGGCCAGGGCACTGCGACTCAGGCACGCCGCCAGCACGCCTGGAGGCAAAATTGGCACACTTGGCATTGATTCGTATGCTAAGGGTGCTCGATATCCTCGACAAGTCAGACAAGTCCGATACCTCTGATCGCGGTCTCGGAGCCCTGGGCCCGCCTCTCTCACGCGCTTCTCTTTCGGGGAGAGCGGGCGCGCAGATCAAAGGATTCAAGCGTCGAAGTCCGCCTGGGGGGCTCCAGGGCATAGCCTCCGGGCCCCCCCCCCCCGAACGAGCCAAACATTGGGCGCTGCTCCGGGATATCGCCAGACCTGCTTCGCTTTCCGAGAGGCGAGGTAACCGGAAAGCCGGCGGGTTCTCGCCTTTTCGCGTTCGCCGGTCGAACGGTGTCGCCCGCGAACTCGTCACCCACGATGTCCTTCAGATGCCGCTCCAGAGAACCATATGATGGGATTGCCGCATCTTCGCAATTCATGGGCGGCACCTGCGCACCCCGTACCCCTCGACAGGCGGCTCCTGGCCCCCACAATAAACAATCGGCACAGGCGTAGACCTGCGAGATAGATTTTCCTCCGGATCCGCGCCGCGGTCGTCGCTCGAGGGGTGCTCGGAAGCGTCGATGCGGTCGCCGAGCGGGACGAGGTCTGCATCTTCATCTCCATCATGTCCCCGCTGTGAAACATTATTGTTCTTGGGCCCCGGCGCGCTTGGGCGAGGCTCTTCTGCGTGCGAAAGATTCCGGGACATCTTGCCGTGATGGCGCAGGCTCGACTCCTCGACCTCGTCGCCAACATCGGATGCAGGAACTTCCACGCTCATCTATTCATGGCGTCATCCTCCTTCTGGACGTACATCACCCTTGAATGGAACGAATATCGTTCCTCCATGAGGTAGAGCAACTTTCGTCGGAGACGGAACTTTCGGCTGATAACCAATATTTTGCCAGTCCTTTGACGACATTGGCATATAGTTGACAGTATTACTAGATAGTTATTCATCATATCCTCGAAGCCTCCCGCTCAGGTTCATCCTCGGTGAAAGCGAAAATAGGGATGTAACACAATACGCCATGAGTGTGGTATGAATGTCCGTTAAGATTAGGTTGGCCCTATGGAATAGAAAGGACCGGCCAGCCGAGAGGGGGCGCCCGGGGAGGGTGCGCGCGGCGGGCGGGACGCTGTCCTTTTCCTAATCGAGCCAACACGCACAGCTACGGAAGTATCGCTGCGGGGGCTAAGTGGGCCAAGGGGGTCGCCTAAAACAACATTTGAAATATGTGCGAGCTTGAAAGGACCATTATGGCCCCCTCGTGCGTGTGTCACCGTTCCTTTTCTGCATATACCCAAAGGCTGCTCCGAGAGCGAAATATATTGACGCAACAACAAAAAGGAATCGAGGAACCGAGCCACAACAAAACATGTGGTGTCATATTTTGTGTCGGTGCAGTGCTCACACGACGTGTGTTTCTGAGGGGCTTGTTTGGTGATGTCTAGCTCCCCTCGGTGTGGCCGGTGTCCAAACAGCTTGTTTCCAAGTGCGTTGGTGCTCAGAACCTTCAAGTTGTTCATACTTCTTAAACTTGTGGTGAATGGCGTCCCGCTGCTTGCTAGCATCCGTTCGTTTCCAAGCCGCTGGCCTTCGTGGTGAGCCTCAAGTAGTTTGTTTCCGGATTCAGATTGTACATGCCGTCGAAGATACTGGTAGAGTACTGGAGCAGGGCAGGCGCAGTCGGTAACACAGGGTGTTCCCCCGTACAGAAAGCCACGAGGGCGGGAACCAGCCTGACTAGGCCAGTTCCGCTACCAAGTCAATGTGTCCTGTTTGGCCTATCAGGTCGGTAATTGTGATGACCAGCGTGCATGTCAACAAATATGGCGCGAATGCTCGCCAGCCACAAATAGCAGCGGATATTCCGACTATCCAGACTACCCAGAAATCCGACAGGCCCTACCCAAGCAGGCTCAGAATGGCTCCAACACGGCCCCCGAAGCCGTCCAGGCCGCTCCCAAAGGACTCCAAAACAGCCCACGAGTCTGTCCAGACCGTCCAAGGGTGGTTCCACCGAGCCTCTGCGGGAGAGTTCCGATTCAAACACCTTGCCCAAGGCGGCTGCAGGACGCCCGACAGCCCTCCAGACAGAAACCTCAAAAGAGTCTCCGAGAGGGCCCCTGGAGGCCCCCATGAAGCCCCCCATATGCCTCCGACAAGCTCTCAAGAGGCAATGCAGCAACCGTGACCGTGAAATGTCACAACCACGCCAAGCTGCAACATCATCGCGCTTCCTAGACGGCCACACGATCGTTCTCCCAAACTCAGTTGGAAGAGCTGGTCAAAATCACTCTGCGTGAATTTCGATGTTACGCTGGCACGGTGGCGGGATTTTCCGTAGGCAGCTCGATACTGGACCAGCAACATTGATTCCACCTTTCGGGTGGATGTTTACAAGAACACACCTGACAATCTCAAATGCAAGGTGCGTGCGCCAGAGTCCCTGCAGTGCACGTGCGCGCCCGATGTCTCATTGAGTGACATGGTGTTCTGCCACCCCCAACTGCGCGTCCCCTATTTTCGTCAAACCGAGCCTTCAGTGAACAATTGTAAGGCCGCCTCCGAAGCCCTGTCGCTGTGCGCCGGAGCGAGCTCCAAGTGCTCGGACACCTCGGACCGATCTCCCGCCAGGGACTCCCAGGAGCCCACGTTCGTAATCGAGGACGACCGGCCACACACCCCGTGCGACCTCAGAGGAAAACAAACTACATAAACGTAGACTTTCTGAGCTCCGCGCGGAAATCTTGGTTCGGCGCTGCCCCCCCTCCCTGGGGCACCAGGGGGGCCCTCGCCGATCCAGGACCTCCGTGCGGAGTTCCGAAAGATTTATGCTCATGCAGTTTGTTACTCCTCGAAGCCTGATGCACGCGGTCTCCACGTCGTCGTCCTCCCCCTCCGACCTCGGCCTGTGCCTGCCCACCCGGTCCTTCAGCCACAGCATGGCAGGGACCGTCATGGCGTGCCCGAGGAGCGCGGGCACGCCTCCATCGGCCAGGGCCGCCCCCGCCCGCGGCGCTGCCCGAGAGTCCTCGGGCGAGCCGCCCGCCCGCCTGGCGGAGAGCTCCAGCGGGTCGCCAAGCGGCGTGCCCGTGCGCCGCGCCGAGGGCCTCGAGGCGCGCTTGGGCAGCACGGCGACGTCTTTGCGCGCCGTCGCTTCTCCCGCGTGCTCCTCCTCTGCGGGGCAACGTTAGCCCCCAACACAAAATTCGCGGGTTCCTGTACGGGGTTGGCTGTTGGGCCTGCACCGGCGATGAATGGGCAACTGGAGGTCGATTCACCTGAGCCCAGCGCATCCCCCCCCCCCCCCTGGCGTTGCCCATGATCCTCCTCTGGGGGCATCTCCAGCCTCACCTCGTGGCGCGGCGGCGTCCGGGCGAGCCGCCGCAGCGGGGGCACCCCGGGCGCGGCTGCGACGGCGAGCGCAGCCCGGGCCTGCCGCCCGGGCCTGCGGTGGCAGCAAGCGCTCCGCCACATGGCTCTCGGCGGGGCCTGCGGGGCGAGGCTGCGGCCCCGCGGGCGGGCGCCTCGCCCCCCCCCCCC